CGGGCACAACAGAGCGACGCGTTATAACTCCTCGGCCTCCCCGGCTCCCCTTCACCTCCCCTTGCCGGCCTCCTCCTCCTCCACGGCCTGCGCCAAGCGCGCGAGTCACCAACAGTTCGCAACCAGGATGGAAATGCGGACACTGGGAAGCGCTCACGTTGCCGGACAGTAAATTAAAAGGAATAAAGAAGATTTTGTTTCACGGCTTGATAAACACACCCTGGAGCCCAGGGTGAGCAGCCAGGTGCGAGCTGACATCCCTCCAAACTGCTCCTCCCTGGGGCTTCCACTTGATTAGGTATCTTGGAAAGAGCTCCCTGGAGACTCCCCTGTCTTTTTCTGGGAAAATTAAGGCTTGCCCGACTGCAAAGCCATCTTCTCCTGAGTAACCCTGGCACTAATCTCCCGGCTGCAGTCTCACCTAGATAGGAATTTCACTGAAGATTAAGAGCCCGAGTCACTTAAATCTCACTTGCAAAGAAACACTGGAGGAGAAGCATGCCTGGGCTGCTCAGCAGCGGAAAGGCTGCAGAATTTCCCCCTTAGCATTTTTTTTTCCCCAGCAGCCTCTCAACAGTGAAGCTTTTGCACTAATTTCCTAACCCAGCTTGCAGAGCTGAAGCTCTGCGGTGCAAAGGGCTGCTTGGCGCTACCCGAATGCAAAACCAGCGCTCGCAGCTTCCCCTCTCTTTCCCAGAGGAAAACATTGTAGGAAGTTGCTTAGGGATTGGAATGGCTACAAATCCCTAGATGGATAGAAGAAATTATGGAAGAAGGGGCCAGCAGGAACTTTTTCCCCCCCACGGCATGCGAGTCCATGGGACCTGCGGAAAAATCTGCCATCCCTCCCAGGTGCCTCATCCTTGCGCTGCCGAATCTCTCCTGCCGGGGAAGCAGAGCTGCGATGCCGCGCGCGGAGCTGCCGGCGGCAGCACAAAGCCCCGCTGATGCCCGCGAGCCTATTCAGCAGCCACCTGCGCTACCTTTTCACGGCGCTTCCCTGCAATTTGGGCTCCTGAATAGCTGCTTCCCGCACTGGCAAAGCGAGGCGCCTGCTCGGGCGCTGCGCGGCTTCGCATCGCAGGGTCGCAGCCCGCAGGCGCTCGGGAGCCGCGGCAGCTACCGGCCTATTCACCACTCGAGCACCTATAGCAAAGACTTGTCTCTTCTGCACAAAACTTTCTTTTTTCTCTGGAGCTAGTGGAGGACGTGAGGTGGGGATGTGGTTTTTCCACATCAGGAAGTACTTTGCAAAGACCCCTTGGAAGGATGACACTGTGGGGATGCTGGCACCTGTGGATCCGCATTGGGCAGACCCCCCAGCATCCCGTTTCCTCCCATCCAGTGGGACCTGCTGGCACGGGGCCAGGTGCAAAAGCTTCTCCCCTCGCTTTTCCATACAGCTGTCACAAGCAAACCACACAGTGGCTTCGAGCAAGCGGCAGCCGCTCCGCGTTAAGTGTGTAGTAGCCACATGCCACCCGTCCTTCCTCAAATCTGCCATCCGCCTCACCAGGAGAGCCCCAAGGGAACAAGTTCAGCCATTTCCCACAATTTAGGCAGGAGGAATTGCAGTGTCAGAGCTTGCCCCTAGACCACAGCCCAGGATCCTGCAAGGGCTCTTGTCCCTGGACTACAACCGCTCTCATCTCCGCTATGTGACACGTAGTCCAAGCTCCTGTGTGCCCGTCCTCCCCCCGCAGAGGTGAGGGGGACACAGGAGTGTCACCGAGCTCCTAGCCCAGGTGCTCCGAAGGTGCCGGGCCCCGTCCCCATCCCGCGGCAGATGCGCTCTCTATTCAAAATGAGTTTCTGAAGTGTGCAGCCAAGCAAGCCAAATCCCAAATTGCTTTATAAACACTCTGCGTTGCGCCGGCGTGGGCTGGAGACATCAGCACCGGGAGTAAAGCCAAAGCGACTTGCAGAGGAGCAATTTGGGAGAGATGAGTTGGGACTATCTGGAGCACTGCCACTTATATATTTTTTTCCAGTTGAGGTGAAAGGAGCCTCATTTATCCCCCACCTCATTTTATTTCCTCCCTTTGCAATACTGATGGGCAGAATCTCTGCAGCTCTGAAGTTTGCAGCCTCTCCTGCTCATGAGCGCAGAGCTCAGGCAGCGCTGCCACCACTGCCACCCCGGCACCCCTGGGCAAAACGGACCTTTGGGGACGGACAGGTGGTTGACCCAGCTTGCAAGCTCAGTGCTTTGCAATATTCTGCATTTCTTATCACCACACAAGCACCCGTGCGTCCTGACACGGTGGTGCCCCTCGACCACACGGCAAAACTGCCCCTCTCCAAAATCCCCTTCCGATGAAGGATGCGGCTGCTTTCCGCAACCCGGCCCGACTGCTTCCCGCAACCTGATCCAACTGCACCAAAGCACCACGGCAAAATGACTAGCGGGAGGAAAAGCAGCAAAGAACAACCCCCCAAATCCATCATTTTGATGCCCCAAAGTGATAAATGCCAGACCCCGAGAAGCTCCTGCCGGAGTGATTTATGGGGAAGCTGCTTGGATGCCATGGTGATAGACGGCAGGGGAGAGACCAGAGGAGAAAGTGCGAATTAATAATACGTATTTCGCTATAAAAATACTTCTGATCGCGGGGTTCAGCCGCGCGGGGGAAGAGATAGACGCGGAGCCAAGGGGCATTTGCTGGGAGCTCCCGCGCTCACCGTTGCTTGAGGTTTTAGTATCAGACTAATACGCAGATGGACCACGAGGCTCAGAAACGTCCCGGCCGGTGGCAGGGACAGCTTGAGCCACCTCAGCTGCACGGGCTTGTAAGGAGAATGGTGCAAAAACCTCCCAGCGACATGGGGAGCTTCAATCCTCCACGGCAACACAGCCCCCGAGCGGCTCGTTTTGCTCCTTCACTAGTGTTTGGCCACAGGGAATGGGCAGTGCAAAAGCTGGTAGGCAGCAAGGAGCATTTTCCCTAAAACAGGAATTTAAGCAGGGCTGGAGAGGCAACAGAGTCTTCCTCCTATTTGTTTTACTCAAAATCAAGAGAAGGGAAAAACAGAGACCCCAGGACACTGGCATGTGGTCACAACACAAAATCTGCCAGCCCTGGGGCTCATCCCCAGCACAGCTGGGCAGCTCCCAGGCAAATGCACAGTGACAAACCATGCTCCCTTGTTCAGGACAGCCAGTTCCTATTCAGGGACTTTGGATTTGAAGCAAGAAGAGGTTAAAAAGAGGGTTTGCAAAATCCTGCAAAACATGGGGTCTTTTGCAGGGCCGGCAGCACCCAAGGTGATTTGAAGGAGGGTGCAGGTTGCACAGAGCTGCAGAGCACTAGGTTGCAGCAACAGGGGGTCATTTTCACAGCAAACTCTCCTAGGGGCAGCTCAGCCACCTCCCCCGGGTGCCTGCAGCGTTATCAGCCGGGAAACACTTGTTCTCTTATGAAACCTCCTGGGCAGGAACGCCCAAAGCGACGGTTGCAGCTGCAGTGGGGGTGAACGGTGCCATGGGGCGCTCCCACGCAGGCGGTTTTGCAGGAGCCAAAGGGGCGCAAAAAGCCCCTCTGAGGTAGCTGCATCTCAAGGCAGCCAGGAAGAGGAAGAGGAGGGGAACAGCTAATCCTCCCCCTAAAAAGTCACTGCAATTCCATCAGGGCTTTACAAGAAACGAGCTATTTAGGAAATAAACTAAACAAACAAAAAAGCAAACGCAATGCAATTTTCCTGCAAGGAGCTTCTCCCAGATGGAGATGCTGTGCCCAGGAGCGCGGGAAGCCGCGTCCGTCCCGGGGGCGTTAAGTCAAGCAGAGCCTCCTGAATCCCCAACGTCGCCCCCGCTGTCCCGATTCCGCGTCATGCAGCCGAGGGAATCCAAGCCCCAGGTCTCGAGGGAAGATAAATGCCCTGTTAACGTGTGTATTAATACCCCTATCGACTTCCCGGGTGCCGGTCGTTATCAAGATTTATCCAGCCTGATGGGCGCCTATCGATCGCGGGGCAGCGCGTTCCCACGGGTCAATCCATTCTGCTGCAGCCCCTGGCAAGAAGTCAATAGCTATTTATTATATGATGGACGAGCTTCATTATTTTAAATGCTGGGAAAGGGGGAGGCAGCCGAAAGGAAGGGCGGATGGGCAGCCAAAACCCAAGGCTGGAAGGGCGCTGGAAGCAACTCGGCCCACGCAGGGGCCCCCATGGGTTTGCCTACCCCCTGGCCAAAAACCTTGATTTTTTTTTGCATATAGGAAAAAACGAAGCAGGGGGTTCAGTTCTTTCTTTCACGTCGGGTCCGTGCTATCCATTACGCAGCCTGTGAGGCTGCCTCAGTGCCACCTCGAGACTAATTAAGATGGATGTTAACTGTCCCCACCGCTCGTTACCCAAGAGGCAGCTCATTAGCAGCCCGCACGGGAGCTCTCCTTGGAGCGGCCTCCAATCCCGCTCCCCAGGGGACACTGCACGTCCCCCTGCGCCCCAGGACCCACGGACACATCGAGGGTCTCCTGCAGAAGTGCTGGCCCGGGGCTGGCAACCAAAGAGCAGGGGGTTGGTCCCACCGGAGCCCTCTCTGCTTGTCCCGCTTGCAGCTTCCTGAGCTTTTCCGCTGGGAAGGAAAGCGGCGCAGGAGAGGAAGGAAGGAAAACGGAGCGGCACGAGAAAGTAAAAATAAAAGTGGCTAAAAATACCCGTGTTGGAGGCTCACGGGGCCACGCGGCGAAGCCCCTTCCAGGGTGCGCAGCTGCTGGTGACGTGCTGGCAGGAACACGAGGTCCCTCCCGCCGCCGCACGAAGCATCTCCCTCCTCACTGAGCGACCCGGCCGCGGCCTCGCACCCGTGTGGCCCCGGCACCAGCTCCCGGCATCATCCAAGCCCTTGGAGTCACCCGGGTTCAGCCGTCGAAGCCCGGCCGTGAGCCCGCTGTGCTCGGAGACGTCGCGGGCACAGGGCGTATTAGGGGGTAAGCCAGTAATGCCTGACTTTGACCTTAAAAGGCCCAGGCTGCAGCTGGGAAAAGGGGAAAAACAACCCCTGAGCAGCTCACCCCGCTTCGCAGACCTGATATTAATGCATCAAACCACTGCAGCGCACGTATTTATTTTGTCAAACTGTCAAAAAGCGGCACCTGAGAGGTTTTTTAGATAGCAACATTAAAGTCAAAAAGCACTTTTTGTAGCTTTAAAAAACCTATTACCCAAAGCTCTGGTGCTGAATGGGATTCAAAGGCTGTGCAAACAGGCACTGCAAAAGTCTCTCCGTGCAAAAGTTACTTCCAAGGAGCAGGGCAGAAAAGCCGCATTTTCCCTAAGCAGGAAGCCCAACACTAGGTGATGTGCAGAGCTGGTGGCAGAGTCGACGGCAAGGAGGCGCCACAAGAAATGCCATATTTTGGGGGATACATCCTACACCTCCAGTGTCCCTCAGAGCCGAGACAACCACACTGGAAGCAGCTTTCTGGAAGGCAAACAGGCAAAAGGGCCACACGCTATTTCACCGTTAATGGCCTTATGCAGCTTTTCCATTCCAAGGCATTGTTCCAAGGGATTGTTTTAGGCACTTCCATGGAAAGGTCTCTTCCATGCTACGGGGCAGAGGGGCAGCCGGCTGCAGCCTCCCTGTCCACTGAGCTGGGCTGAGGGCAGCGCTGACTCGGCACTTGGCCACCCAGGCAACCACTAGCCCTGGAGCTTCATGGTGGCTGGGAAGTGATTTGCCCGGAGTTGCGTTTCCCCTCGGAGATGTTCAGAGCGCTCGTTAGCCACGCTGTAATTATGGGAGCGAGCGGCGAGGCTGGTGCGGTTCAGTAACCCCAGCTGCTCCGGTGACAGCCCTGTCCCCTGCCTGACTGCAAGAGCTCCCTGTGGCAACGTCCCTGCAGGCGCCTGCTGGTCCACAAGCCCTAAGCAGGTCCATCCCGCTGGCATACAGCATCGGACACGTTCCCAGCGCCGCAGCCCAGCTCGCGTGGCTCCAGATCCCGTCACGCACTGGACCAGCAGAGGGGGCAGCAGCCCCTCCAGCTGCACCTTTGCTAGGCAGGGACTAGGTGACACCGCAGCAATCCCACCCCAGTGGCAACACCACACTATGGCCTCCCCGATGGCACCAAAGCTTCGCTGTGCCCCTGGCAAGCGCAATCACAGAGGGACTGCTCCCAGCATCACACTGCAAATCCCCGGCAATAGAGAACATTGGTCAGGGCAGCAAGGAGGACGTGACTCGCGATGCCTTCTAGCAGCTTGTCAAGAGCGAGCACTTGACTGCTGGAATATACTTTGGAATGAGAAGGAAATTACTCAAAATAACAATGTCCCTAGCTTGGCAGTCGAAAGGACCGAGAACTACATGCACCAGGGCATGCAGAACTGCAGAGCCCATAAGGATCTCTGAGCCCAACACAATCCCGTCAGCGGCTCGGTGGGCTGAAGGACCTTCCTCCAGCAGGTTCTGCAAGAGCCCGAGCCGGTCACGGCACGCAGGGAGGCGCCAGGCTCACCTGGTGATGATGGCGAGGTGAGGAGGGCTCATGCAGGCTCCCATGAAGAGCACCACGTTCTCGTGGCGGGTCTGCCGGTAGGCCATCACCTCCCTCTTGAAGGCCTTCAGCTGGTCCTCGTTGTCCCGCTCGATGTCAATGAGTCGGATGGCCACCTCGCCGTGCCAGCGTCCATGGAACACCTGCCCAAAGCGGCCCTTGCCGATGAGCTCCCCAATCTCCAGCTGCTCGAAGGGGATATCCCACTCCTGGAGGAAGATGCTGGTTTGGCTGGCCTTGCGGGGGAAGTTGCGAGCCGAGAGGAGGGAGAGGTTCATCTCTTCAAAGTCGTCCTCCGACTCCTGGGCCTCCTCATTGCCCTCCTCATTCTGTGGGGAGAGAGGCAGAGCTGAGCACCTGCTCAGGTATGTCCCGAAAGCAACTGAGCGCAGGTGGCACCTGCTTCCATCTATATTTTACGCAAGGCCACAGGAAGGCAGAGGTCAACACATCTAGATTTTGTGGGAGATGCCATGGGAATTTGCAAATCCAGGCTTAAAAGCAAGAGAGACCCACCAGAGCACTGCACTGATCCACCTGGAAGCAGAAGTTCATCCCACGCCTCCCTGTTAGTGCCACCATCAGCTCCCACCGCAGGGCCCAAGGTCTGCACCTGGAGAGCCTGGGATAATCCTGGATTTCCCTCTCCTGAGCTGCGTGTTTCTCCTCAGATCTAAGTGCACCCAAGAAGCTGCATCCCTCATGCTGGCCTTCCAAGGCCAGGCCACATTTCCAATGAGTCTTATAAAATGGGACAGAACTAGGAGCACAAGAAGAGGCGTGAAGCCCACAAGGGACCGTGATGCCACTGCCCGTTTTGGCGGCAGGTCAACCTCGACCCGCAAGGTTGACCTGCCACACACCCTGCAGTTTAATAAACTTTGCTTTCCCAAGTTTTCCTTTCATTCCAGAAATGAAAAGAAGAGCCTGTGCCACGACTAGTGGCATCTTACCTCCGACGTTGGCTCCACTTCAATTTGAAGTAATGGATTTCCTTCCAGGCTGTTAAAAAAATTAGCACAGTGTGAAAACAGAGCGGTGTGGGGAGGTTGTGACAGAGCGTGGAGCACCGTGACGTGGCTGTCACCTCCCGCTCCCCTCGGCATCATCTGCGGCGACACGGAGTCTAAGGGGCAGCCCCGCAAGTCGGCTCGGGAGCCAGCCCGAAGCGATGGCCGCGGGGCTGGACTTGTGCCCGGGCACCATGTCCGCAGGGACAGACCCAGGGATGGACCCGCACCCTGGGCTGAGCAGCACAGCGCCACTGGGGCAGGTGCTCCCAGCCCTTCCCGGTGCTTCCCAAGCCCAGATTGACTTTCCCCATGAATCCCAGCCTGTGACACGCATGCCTGGCTGCTTGCCAGAATGGAAGAAATTGGGGTTTGCAATAATTTCCACAAAGTGGAGATTGCAGAGCCCTTCTGCACAGCAAAAGCACCACAACACGCCCCAGCAGCAGGAGCGATTTATCTTGCTGGCTCTTTGGGTCAGCTTCTCTTTTTGCTTTCTGCTCATACGGCGCCTGCCACCACCAGAACCAACCAGGTCTCAAGGCACTTGTATGTGGCAGCTCACGGGGAACATCAGGGACGAGCAGAGCGCAGGAGGGTCAGAGCTGTGAGAGCTCCCTCCCCATGGAGCTGCGAGCGAGGACAGCAGGAGAACCAAGCTCTCCTCGCACGGGCACCGTGGTCCCATGTGTTTCCTCCTCCACTGAGTCCCCACTCAAGTGCCATGAGCCCCTGGGTGATATCTTTTTGCAAACCCTCCCAGGCCAGCAGCCATCATGACGCAGGGCAGCGAGCAGGAAAAGCAGGCTCTTTCAGCTGAACTTTAATGCAGACGCTAATATCCCTCTCCAGAGTATCTCGGGATATAAAGCAGAACCTGCTTCTCAGTCCGGCCACGTATGGAGCCACGTCTGGGGTTTCAGAAGGTTACTTGCAGCAGGGTAAGCTGCTGAGAACCACGAATTTTGCATATTCAGACCTTATTTCACCCACCAAAACCCTTCGGTCCCAGTTCTGACACTGCGCTTTTGATACGAGGACCTGGCAGGGTGGACTCCAGTCTCATTGACTACCAACACAGAAGGTAACCCAGGAGAAGAGCAGTGTGAAAAATCTTTCTTTATGACTAGATACATTTTGGTCTCTTTGGCTAAGGAAAAACAAATCTTTTTTTTTTTAAGGCTTTATCTTAATTGCTTTGCCATTAATTTCCATGCTGCCAGCACCAATGGGCAGAGCCGCTCTGTCTCCGTTCCTCTGGCCGCCTCTCCGAGACAGAGACGAGATCCTTCAGACCCCCTTGACAGGTTGCCAGTTCAGCGAGCGGCGTGTGGGCGAGCTGGATAGAAACTACGTCTCTGTCTGGCCTGAGATCCTATCTGTTAAATTTCCAGTTTATATAATCCTTCAAAAGTGGCGTTTATGAAAAGGAAGGGCAGCCACCCGCAAAAGGCAACGTGGCTGCTGGATGCTGCCAGAATACCACGGATTACGGCAGTCATGGAGGGCTGCAGCAAACCCTGGGTTAAACAGATAAACTCTGACCCAAACCGCTGGGAGGGCTGTTCTTGGGTGCCAATTATATACGGAATTTCCAAGCTACCTTCAGTACCGAGTTCAAGGATTATCTCTTGAAAATGCTCCAGGTAGGGCTGGGACAAGAATCTTTACTGAGGTCATCTGAGGTGTCCCCACTCAAAGACCCTGTTTTTGTGCTTCTATGAAAAGATTAATCACTTGGGCTTTGTATGGAACAATACCTTCGTTAACACTTCCCTAACAAGCTGAGGCTCCCATCCAGGGCTGCAGCATGAGGGGCCAGAGCGCAGTGAGAGGAGGGGAAGCCACTTACATGGGGTTGGAGTTGACAGGATGGAGGACCACCTGCGGGGCTCGCGTTGGCGTCTCAGGCACCACGTCTGAAAGGAAGAGAGCTCAGTGAGAGCAGGGCAGGACACGCTGCGAGGGGCCTTTTCGGGTCTGCAGCCAGCGAGCCGGCCGAGGGTACCCAGGGAAATGCAACCCGTGTTTCCAGCTGGGCTGAGAACCACGGTTCACATCCAGGGAAAACTTGGGTAGAACTTAGGGTCACCCAGCCTTGGTCTGCAGCGTGTTATTCGGACACTGTCCTGGAGCAGCACGGTGTTCTCATGGCCATCCCGTGGCTGTTTTGGGGGAGAAACCCCCGTCAAGCATCCCTTCCCCTGCACAGATCCAGGGTGATATGTCCACACATATCCCTGCCAACCAGCGCCAGCTCTCCGTGGGGCATCCCAGCGCACTGCCTTTGCCACTGACCAGCATTTTGGAGAGACTTACCAGGGAAAATGAACTGCTGCTTGTACTTGTAGTAATGGGAAGCTGGAAAAAAGAAAGGGAAGGGAAAAAAAAAAAAAAAAAAAAAGGTGTTTCAGAGACCAGTGCTGGAGAGAATCCAACCCAAGGGATGTCAAACTCAGCGCCACAAAACAGGTGACCAGCATGTGATCCCTCCTGCCAGCATCTCCTGGGCACAGCCTCCCCTCACCTGCATCCATCTCTCAAATAAATGCCTTATTACTCCCCCAAAGCCCATGCACATTTAATGGATGGCCAAAAAATAAGACCTTCGACCTTCCAATAAGTTGGATGTATCACAACAGAAGGGGCCAGCAATGCAATGCAGCCCTTCCTGCAGCCTCTCACTGACCCTCCAAGCATATTCAGCGTACGTGGAAGCTGAGTTTCCCTCCTGGTTTCCAGCGTGTCCTCCTTACCCTGTTATTTTCATCCCAAGCTCTTCAGGGTCGTGCCCAGGCGGATGCCGCGCCAGCTCGCGGCTCTTGAGTGACAGGAGCCACCCGGTGCCGGCGAGCCGCCCGCTGGCTGCAGCTCTGAGCGCTGGAGACAGCTGTGGAGAGCGTGTGCCGGCTATTAAATCTTACTCCTTCTTTGCCGGTTTCAGCTCCTACTTTATGCCTGTAATTAGCATTTATAGAGTGCTGGTGGGGTCTGTGAAGCCCCCTGAGGGGTATGGCCGTTCGATACTTATCAAAGCCCCTGGGGTTTCAGCTCCTGCTATCCCACAACTTGTGCCTGTAGCATTGGAAAGATGCTAACCGACGCACGGCCCCCAAGGGGCTGCTGGAGCGGAGCAGGAGCGTTGGGTCTTGGTGGGCCTCAATGGCTCTTCCCAGGAGATGGAGGCCACTAGATATCAGGTCCCAACCCTGCGCCCTGCTTGCCTTATGCTGGGCAGGTGGGCAGCAGGCATGGATCAGCACAGAGTCACTGCAGCCAGGGCAGCTCCAAAGATCAGGGCTAGCGGCGGAGCCACTATTCCCCCTGAAGCGTCCAGAGCCCAGAAGATTGTCCATCAGCTTTACAGCAGAATCCGTGCTTCTCTGAGCTGAGATCAAAGCAGATTTAAAGGTAATTCCAGGGGAAAAGTTCCTGTATCAGTTTCCAAGCTCAAATCCTAATCCCCAAAACGACCATCTTGATGAGGCTGCTCTAAAGCACCAAGGCTTTCCCATGCATGAAAATAAAAGCTGTCCAAGAAATTGCATCAAACTGGCTCCCACCACAATCTTCATGTCCAACAGAAGAATATTAGGCTAAATTCCAAATGTTTCTTTGTTACATTTAGTTTCCACATTTCATTTGCTTGCTTGGATGCACATATTCAGGGGAAACAGCTCTCCATGTCCTTGCAGAGCATCTCGGACATCCGTTCTCTACAGAAACCGGACTTGGCACTAGGTTGACTTTGGCTTGACCAACACCAATATTTTCATACACGCGTGGAAACAAATCTTGTGCTTTGCTCTTTGCAATTTGCAGCTTCTGCTCTGAGGTCTTGGAGCCTGCTAGTGGCTCAGGAGATCTGGCTCACGGAGTGACCACAGGATGGGAGCAGCTCTGCTGCCTCTTCTGCCCCAGCCAGCGGGATGAGCAGGGAGATTTGGCTACACCGTGTGTTACACATATGCAAAGGCTGTCAAAAACCACTGAGCTACTGCCCAGCAGGCACCAAACTCTTCCTCTTGATACCCTCCGATGTCTTCCTCTCTCCCCTCCATCATCCTGGCTGAATCCCCGAGATGCTCCAGCAAGGGGGAATTTGTTGGGGCCACAGACAGCTTGAGGTGCCAGGCGCAAGCAAAGGACTGCGCTGATTTTTTTTTTTTTTCCCCCAGCATTGGGAAATGGTGGTTACCATGGTAACAGATCCTGCCAGTCAAGTCCCCCCCTCCCTTCAGCCTCCTTCCTCCTCCTCCCTATCTAAAGGCTTGTCAAGATGGAAGGGGAGGAATCGAGAGGAGCACAGGAGAGTTAACAGAGCACGAAGGAGCCGTCTGGCTCTGGCAGAGGAGCAATTGCGCCTGCCCCCATCGCGAGCCTGGGCAGTGTGCTAAGCCCGGGGCTCGTAGCCAGAAAAAGTAGAGGGATCCCGACCTCATGGCTGAGGTCTCATCAGAGAGCGGCAGCACTGGGGGACTCAGAGGCCACGGCCATGCGGGTGGTCACCAGGCCTGCTTGGCTGACTGGGTGTTGGTCCTCAGAGCCACAGGGCACCAGCCTACCAGGCACTAGCCACACAAGAGGAACACAAGTCTTCCTGGAGATTCTGCCGAAGTAATCTGCTGCCAGAGGCACAACCTGGAGCAGCAAGCACCCCAACTCCCAGCTGCTTCAGCCTAGAGAGATCTCATCATGGGCTCTTTCAGCAGGTCACGACTTCCTCCCTTCCTCCATCCCCGGGCACTTTCTGGAGTGTTCAGGTAGAGAAGGCGATGGCTGAGGAAGCCTGAAGCCCCTCAGTGCTTCCAGGAGACAAGCTGAGCCATCACCTCCAGGCAAGGGACCTCTCCTGGAGCTGCAACACTGTCCCAGGGGTATCCTCAAACAGCTCAGGACTGACACAGACAGCCAACAGATCTGTAGGCCAGAAGAGGCTCTTCTGGCCGTGCAATACAACTGCTGCGTTTCTGCTGCCTCCCCCAGCCAGCCCTGCCCCAGCCCCTAATTTAGAAGCAATTTACAGGGTTGCTTCCCCAACGGCACCACCACGCTGCCAGCAAGATGGCAAAGCATGAAGAAGGTGTCACCTGCCCTGACAGCAGCTCCCCAGGATCGATGACCCCTCCTGCTGCCTCTTAGCCTGGAGTCACCTGGCTGTGGCTTCCAGCCACCGGCCCTCACCATCCTCTAGTGCTAGAGTCCGTGCTTCACCAGGGACCTGCACACTGCAAACAAGTTAGCTCTTCTATCTTCCATGAAAAGACATGAATTTGGAAGCCTTTCCTTGGCAAAGGGGCCCCTCCAGGCCTCAGGACAGAGATGGGCAGAGAAGATTCAGCTGGCCGAGGTAATCAGACACTCTCCAGGATCAGCTTCTCCCATCCATCGCTCCACGTGTGCTGTGGCCCTACTCTGAGAACAAGCTTGTTGGAGGTACATCACCCTTGCAAACATGCAGTGAAGGCCTCTCAGGTTTCCCTTGAAGAGGCATAAGAACTTGCTACCCATTGGCCACTAGGGTAATGAGCACACGGGGCCACACGTCATGGACGAGCCATGCCTGGAAACTCTGGTTGCCACAAGTAGGTCAGGTTGTCTGCAGAGTTTGTGCTGGCTTCAAACTTGGAGGTTCAAGCCCAGCCTCATAAAGCCCTGGGCAACCTCCTCTAGGCTGAGAGCTGACCCTGCTCTGAGCAGGAGCCTGGACCAAAGACTCCTGGTCCATTCCAGCCCTAATTACACTAGTCCTAAGCTTGGGTTTGCTGCTCTTCTATCTGCAGTTTTCCCCATCCTAGCCAAAGCACAGGCAGATAAGCAGATCTCGGCCGCCTGAAGGGACACGAGCCTAAGCCTCCCTCCCCAGGGCAGTTTGCACGACACCTCTCATCAGGGCTGGACACATGGGCACGCACAGTAGTACCTGGCAAGTTGAACTGCTTCTGCTGCCGCGTGCACTGAGGCGAGGGGTGGAGCGGGGACGGCGGCGTCGCGCTGGGCGGCAGCGGTGGCGCAGGCGAGGACGGCGTGGAAGAGGTCGTGGAGGAGGGGTTGCTGCTGGAATCTGGCTGGTAGGGCACCGGGATGTGGTCCTGCAGGCAGGAGAGAAGAGCTGGTGAGCGGTGCCAACCAGCTCTTCCCAACACTAGACCCTCCCAGGCTCCTGGGATGGTGAGCAGCTCCCATGCAGGAGCTGCATCTCCATCCAAGTAGGGAGCTGTGTTCCTCACGGCTTGCTCACTGCCCGGGGAGGATGGAGGTGTCCAGGGGGTTCAGGAGAAGTTCCTGCAATGAGCAGAGTGAGACAGGACAGTGTCCATCGCTCTGAGCCCTCCTCAGCCCACCACCCATGGCACCTTAGCTGGCCACGTCCCTCTATGAGCTGACGTTTCACGTTCCACAGAAAACCATCAGAGCCCAGCAGCAGCACTTTCCAAAGCCATTTGTCTTCTTCCTTTTGTGCTGAGGTCATTTTATGCACGAAATGGGGCTTCCCTGTAGCCCCTCCATGCTGTGCACCCTCAGCTGAGGGCTTCCCAAAGCCTGCCTACATCTCCAAGACACGGCCACATAAACCCACAGGAAGGACCTGCCTCCCTGCGGCTTGGTTCTTAGAGACACCAGCTCCTGCTGACCTCACATTAAGCCAAAAACCCAGCACCATGCGTGGAGGAGGGCTGGGGGCTCCATTCACAACGTTTGAAAGGACCATCCACGTCCTTGTAGCAGCACACAAGCATCCCGAGACATCTCTTCACACCCGTGCCTGCCTGCCTGATCTCGCTCTCTATTAATTCTTTATTAATTGCTCTCTATTAAGGGAGACAACTCTGGGGTAAAGGAACATTCAGGATAGGTTTCTCATAAATATATATACACATACATGAACACATTTTACAGTCACATGCACTGGTGCTACATGTGTTTCCTCTGCAGCTTTCCAAATATAATTATATATGTAGAGCTATTTAAATAGATACATGTACACACACACATGCATTTATATAATTGGCACCATTATGCTATGGTTAAGGAAAATAAAGTGAGGGTCAAAAGCCACCCCCAAGAACCTGGGGGGCTTGGGAGATTGAATAAGTTCCCCAAAGAGAGCCAAAGAGCAGTTTATCCTCCAGAAATCCCCAGAACTGCCAGAAATTGGAAGGTTTGCTGGGAGGCGCTGGTCCTAGTGCTCCAGCACACCACCCCGCCTTGGTGCAACGCGGCCTCGCACCTTGTTGATTTTGTTGGTCTTGGGCAGCGTCTGGCTCACGTGCAGGTCCGAGTACCTGGGCGGCTTGCGCAGGGGGTTGTTGATGTCGCAGGGCACGGATTCGGTCCGGACTAACCTCGCTGCACGACGGCAGGAGACGGGGAGAGGGATGGAGAGGGGCGAGAGAGAAAGAATGAGGGTTTAGGAGAGCAGGTCGGGCAGGAGGTGATTCAGGGCTGAGCTCTGCCATTGCTGGCAACTCTCCATGCGGAGCCTCCGAGGGGGTGCGGGAAGCACCGGGATGCAGGAGCAGCTCACAGCAGGATATGCAATCTCCAAGCACAGGAGCTCCCCCAACTCAGCTGTTCTCGGAGATGGGGATCAGCCCCACACCTGCGCCGTGGCTTTGCAGCAACTAGCAACTTATATACATCCCCCTTCTTAAAATGAGAAATGTTCTGAATACTCGGAATATTTGGGTGCTATTGCACATGCAGCAGCAGCCTGAACCGGATGGACACCAAACGCCGCCCCGTTCCCCTCCTGCGCCCAGCCGAGTTGTGCAAGTGGAAGCGGTGGCGAGCGGCATCCCGCGTCCTCGCAGCGCACTGCGGTGTCCTGCGCCGGGCACGGGGGACACGCTTCCACCCAGGCCAGCTTTCACCGGTAGCGAAAGGCTAAAACCTGTTGCACTTACCCCGAGCTGTGGGGAATCTGCAAAGGAAAGGTGGCAGGGGGAGGGTGGGTGGAAGCGGTTTGGGATGCAAATCTGCCTCGCACCGCCCGGCTCGTCTCCCTACAAGCGGAAAAGACGGTGGGTAGCATTTTTCCGGCGGGTAGCGGTTTTCCGCAGGGCGCCCCAGTGCATTGGGAGCCAGCGGCCACCAGGAGCCTCCCGAGGGCTTGGGGTGCTTGCGGGAAGGATCCCTGGCGGAAAGCACCCGCGAGGAGGAACAGGCTCTTACCTCCACGGTGGATGATGAGCAGGTGACACGGGGGGGCCTCTTTGGTGCATTTGTTGTGGCACTTGAGCCTGGCAGGGGAAAATAAAGAGAAGGAATCCATAAGGAAAGAGATGGGAGGTGTGCAGGGTGCTTGATTTCACATCCGCATTTTGCAAAGCCCAGTTTTCTTGCTGCTCCAACCTGTCAGGTTTGGGGGCTTTCACATGAAAACACTCGCATTTTCCATTACAGAAGTTCCAGACAAGAACCCGATGGGCTGTTGGTCCAGCTGCAACGTGAGCATGGATAGATGCCCATCACCGACCATCACCCCAGCATGGTGGGACATGTGAGTGTCCCACCAAAAATCACATCCACCAGGTATTTCCGTTGTCCCCAGGGGAGGCGAGAGGCCAGAGAGGCCAAAGAGCTGCTGCCTCCTCCTCCTTCCCCAGCGCCAGGGGCATCCCGACTCGGGGAAAACCCCAGCTGCTTCCCTGCTGACCACAGGGTTACGCTTAATTCAATTCCAGCGCTGCAGAGGGGAAGGAACCGCCTTCCCCCACCAGGTCCCCTCCCTCCCTTTGGCTCTCCATGAATCCCAGCTTTATTACCAGGGCGCTTCCCCCAAATAATGAGGCCATTTACAGCTCCGCCAGCTCCGCTCAATATCCCGCAGAGCCTGTCCCGTCCCTGGGGCCACGCGGGGAGGCAGCAGCTGCATCCCATCACCCCAAAACCCTCCGGCTCGCGGGGATGGCAAAGGGAAAAAAAAATTCCACGAATGAAGTGCAAAGGGGTGGAAAAAAGAAAAAACCTCTAGCAGACACAAGCCAGTGAGCTGGGTAATGAGAGCCGAGGAGCGCTGCTTAGGAAGCGTTTCCTGGGGAAAGCGTTGAGCATTCATTTGGTAGCGGAATCTCGGAAGCTTTTCCTCTTTGGAGCTATTTGCTTGTTTATACCTGCTTTTTCCTTCCCCAGCCTAGCAGAAATGCCTTGTGTTTGCCCTTGCTCACAAGGACAGGAGGGATGGGGACGGGGCAGTGCCCCAGCCCCCGGGACTGGATGCCAACCTGGTACCCCCAAGCACAGCAGGGAGCGGGCAGGAAAACTGTGCTTCCTTCTGAAAAATCTGGGCTTTTAGGGAAAATACATTAAAATATATGAATATAAAGCGATAAAGCATTTGGTAGCCTCAGAGATGTCTGCGGTGCCAACGTACTTGCAATTTTTGCACTTCAGACCGAAGAGCATGCCCTTGCCGCACACAGTGCAGGTCTGCGACATCCAGTACTTGGTAGAGAACCTGCAGGGAGAAGCAGCAGCAAGAGAGGAGGGATGAGAGCAGCCGCCTCCACCAGTCCCCTATGTCCCTGTACCCCCACGTGCATCCCAGCTGCTGGGCACAATTTTCCCCGCCGGGGAGAGGGAAGGGGAAACTGTGAAGGTCGGTGGGGCAGTCAATAACAAGCTTTTTTTTTTTTTTTCTTCCCTTTTAACTGATAGTGTCTTATCTACACTACATATGGGTGAAATTTAAACGGGCTTTGAGTGGGGAGAGTGCAGAGTCCCCCCGGCCTGGCGAGGGAGGGATGGAGCCGCGCGGAAAGGGCCTGGCAGTGAGGAGGAGGATGGAATTGGGCACATGGGGGCTCATACCTGTGTTTGATGGAGTTTCCGAGGTCGCGGCGGGGGATCTGCGGGGACCAGCGAGGCACTGACAGTGTGTCTGCAGGGGGGATGGGAGGGGACAATGGCGGGACAAGCCCGCGTTAGAGCACGGGCCAGCGGGAACCGGGCCCCTCTGGTGGGAGAATTCCCCTTGCAGGGGCGGTTGCAGGCAACAGGTCCTGGGGAGCCAAGGGGGACTCCCACAGCCTGGCAGGGACCAGGGAACCCTGATGCCCCAGGGGAACCTCATGCACACACCTGTGCGCGTAGCTACGCGCTTGTGAGAGCATATGCACATGCACACAATCTCCAGCCAACGCTGGAGGGCAAATCCAGAGCCCTCTCCAAGCTTCCCGAAGGAAAAGGGGGAGTGAAGCCCAAGCAGTACCCGAGTAATTTCTTACCAAGACATCAGCACCCCAGCAGCGCTGCGCAGGGCTCTGGAGTCGGCTGCGTGCTCACACCGCCCGCCAGCTTGCCGCGTTTGCTCTCGATATTACCCCTGCGCGCGGGGAGCAGCGCTGTTTGCTTTAATATCCCGCTTCATAACACAGGCCAAGCGCACTGTAATTGCCCTCCCTGCCTGAAGGTTACATTTGCATGCGGCTGCCCGCGCTCACTATCACTCCCAAGGCTTTGGAGCAGTAAAAAACGGGCCAGCACGAGACCAGTCTTGGATGCACCAGGACCAGCAGCTGCCACAGCTCCGGCCCTGACAGTGCAGAGGGAGAGGGGGGATGCAAGAAGACGGCCCGGACTTTTAATTGCTTTCTAAAGGTGCTTTTATTAAAGCATATTGGGGATTTTAACCTCCTCACCAAGATGAGGCCTCGGCAATTTGCAGTTTATGAACTGCATGCTGGCAGTGTGGAAGTGGCAATTGCAGCAACACAGCTGCTGGCTGCAACAGAGGGGGATAAAACAGCCAGAGAAACAGGGAAAGTGCCCAGGTTAATGGAGGGAAAAGGAATTTTCCCTAATAAATAACATCCCACTGCACTTGATGCATTTCCCTGCTGGATGTGGCAGCGAATGGGTTAAATGGCACCAACCGCAGTGATCAGGAAAGGCCGTGGCTGCCACAGTCGGGGCGACGGGGGCACGGCGAGCGCCTGGGCCGTGACGCGCCGCCCCCGCTGCCTGCTCTGCAAGTGCCTGTTTGAGATGTGCCCCCCCCGCCACCACTAAGGGTTTGATGGGCCCTGCAAGTCCCCAGTGCCCTCCCCAAGCCCTCCTGGAACTTCGCTCCTGGCCAGCTGCACAGGGATGCTCCAAGCACCCCAAGGACGGTGCCACTTGCCCACCACCCCTGTGCCAAGGTGGGTACCCTACTCTTTTGCCAACCAGAGCAGTTGCCCCAAAGTCATTTCAAGCGGGTACATGGAGTTGCATCCCTCGCAGTGGCGTTTTGGCCTGTTCCTCTGTTGGCACACGGGCAGTTGGTCTGGATTTGCTCTCCGCCACGGTGACAGCCGGATGAACAAGCCCTATTTCTCCCTCCACACTAAACAATGCGAATCCATTCGAGCAGCGTGAATGGGATGGATAAATCCGATGGGAGCAAGTTTGGAGAGTGACCCTGGCGTGACTCAGGGTGATGCCAAGGAGCTATAAGGCAACTCTGTGCTCGACCCTGGCCTGGGGCTCTTGCTTGCCAGCCTGCTCCCGCACAGAGTCTTCCTTCAAGAGTGCTCCGCAGCCGCACAACCCTCTTGGCAAAACACTTACTCTGGGCTAGTGACAACTATTTTCACTCAGCTATGAGCAGATCCTGTTGCCCCTGGGCTCATACCCTTGCCAGCCAAGGCTAAAACCATCTCCAAGCAGTGCAGCCCAGGTGCCAACCAGCTCATCTCAATGACAGCTCTTCGTTCACAACCCTGTTGCTTCGGGGCCAACTGTTGGCTCTAACATGTGCTACAGGTCTTGACTGTGAAGACCAAGGCCAGTCGAGACACGGCCTTCTTGACCTCGCTGCAAATGCAGAGCTCTCCCCAGCAAAGAGAGGAAGGACCGAAGGCTGGCACAGACAGGGAATGGCACAGAGGAAAGGCCACCTCCTACATTTCTACTCCACCTTCACAACCAACCGACCTCCAGCCTCAGAAATGCAGCTTGCACAGATGTTGACCATAGGGAGCTGGCACACTTGAATGCCACCTCATCTCCATTTCATCATCACCTCATCTACCATCATTGGGCTTTGGCGGCCAAGCATGGCCAAGGAGACTTTTCCATATCCAGTCCCCACAATAGAGCCGACAGGGAAGGCCCCATGGAGAGGACAACAGTAGAGCCAGCTCCATCCCTGCAAGAAAAACATTTCAGGACATAGTTCCCACCTTGATGCCAGCACAAAACAGGTAGGATCAGCTCTGCAGGGTGTAAAACACCAGCTCTGAGTACCCTGCTAGCAACACGTGTGTGATCTGTGAGCTGGGGCAGGGCTGCTCATGGGACTTTTGTTACTACCAAAATAACCTTTCTCTTTCCCAGTGGGAAGGATGGAGATTTCCATCTCTCGCTCACAGACATCATGCTCTGGAAAAAACGGCACTGGAGCGAGAAACTCCGACAAGCAGAGCCACGGCACAGTCACCAGCTGTGGACAGGGCTCCAGTAAAACCAAAGCCATCGGAACCGAGAGCTGGACTTGCTGTCAGGTGCAGATAGGGCCACACAAGACCATGGTGTGCCGGGTGCCTTTGCCTGGGTGCAAGGGGCAGTAGGGCAAGCTCAGGGAGAAGGAAGCCAGTGATAGTCGCTAAACACAAAACTACATCTGACTTGCAAAGTCCCCTGCTGACAGCACGTCTGGCTGGGACAGCGCCAGTGGGAAGGTTCATGTAGACTTATCCTCTCCTTGCCCCTGTGCTCCTCACACCAGCATCAGCCCTTGGCTTGCAGAAGTGAGCAGCAGGTACCAGAGACACAAGAGCTGCTGTGCACAGGCAGAGGCTCAAGGGCTGGAGCCACCAGACGTTATTAGCTCCCGAAATCCCCACAGCAGCCTGTCGGACTTGCCCCAGGGCCAAGTCGGCACAGGGCTCTTTCACAGCCACTCAGGGGACCAGGAAACAGAAGGCAATGGTGGCATTTTAGTGCTTGCAGTTTGCTCGGCCACCACTGCTTGGCGGCCCTAAACCCCAGGAAGGCAAAACCAGAGCCCTCAATTGCAGATGCTGCTTGTCCTTGGTCACAAAGCCAGGAGACAGAGCCAGGAACAGGGCCCAAGAGGTCCATCTACCAGTTGGGTCATGTTATGTTGCATTGGCTAGAGTATCAAGTATTCGCTATGGCTGGAGAAAGGGCACGTGGTGGGGATGGTCCTTCCATGAGTCTCTGAGTGCTGAGGGTCACAGAGGCCATCACAGTGGGGTGGGAGCCCACCCAAGAGCCCCCTTCCAACTCTGTCCCTGCTCCTGCAGCAAGAATGTCCCCCAGGGAAGGGTCATGATCCAACCAGTGTCCTGTCCCGTGAGGTCTCTCCTACCGCCCATGCTTCCCTGCTTTGCTCTCCCAACCACATCAGCACTTCCTGCAGACCCTGGAAACATTAGAACTAATTGGATCTGCAAGGAACAATTGCAAGACCAAGCCTGTGAAGAAACCAGCTCACGCAAGACTGTTTCCAGAGTCACCAGGGCTAAAGCTGGGCCATGCGCAGGGATGCGAGGAGCCAACCACCATTCAACTCCTGGGCACAGGCCTCCAAGAAGGTCTCCACACTGCAGACCTGAGCATGAAACAGTTCAGTCAGCTGGAGAAATGCTTCATTTTCTCTGTCCTGTCTGCCCTTCCATCCCTTTGCCCTTCCACCTCCCTTTTTTTTTTTTTTTTTTTTTTTTAATAACAGTTTAGGAAGGAAACCATGTTGGTGGCCCGTCCTGGAGACTTCAAGAGGGCAGTTTGATCCGCATGGTGAGAGTGCTCTGGCCAGGCTTACAGCAGGGAAGAGGACAGGAAAGGGCACAGGCACAGAAGTGATGCCAACCAGCTCCCGGGCACCACATAGCAGAGAGGAAGGAGCCCAGGATATACAAGACAGATTCCTACAGTAAAAAACTGAAGAACCCACCTGATTTTTGGCTGCTTCTAGCCAAGTCATGGGCTGTTAACTCCTATCTGTTGTCTGTAAGTTAACAGTCATTGGTCACATGGCTTGTCACAGAGAGTGACCAGAGGCATCAAGAGATGGTCTTTGGATTCAGCCAGGATGAACATCCTGCATCCAGGGATGCTAGGATCCATAAGTACTTGTGCATATAAATATATCAGTGGTTGGAAAGTTCCTTGGGATCACCAGGTTCAAACAAAATGGAGGAGACCTGGCAGCTGGTTGTGGAAAAAAAGATCCAACTCCACGAGGGCTTGATAGAGAAAGGGCTTGGGGAAGAAGATATTCTGAAGGGAGAGGGAGCTTCGAGCTCCTCAACAGGAGTAAAATTGCCCTAGCAAAGACCACATACACACCCCATCTTTCATTCCGCCTCACCAGCCATCTCCCTGGCACTCCAAAGCATCTGGGAAAAACACATCCCAATGAGGGCACATCTGCCATTAAACATAAAACAGAACAAGCATGCCCACATCACCGCAATCTGCTGAGGAGCGGAGACGGTTCGGATGGGAGCACGCTCCTGCCACAAACTGCAAGACCAGCCGGGTGTTGAAGAGATATCATCGAGAGACAGTATCCTTCAGCCTGAGAGATAGAGGTCTTGGAAAGGGCTTGCGAGGCTGCTCACCAGCATCTTAATACGACAGCAACAACATTTTCTGTTTTGTCAGCTTAGACAAGCAATTCCACGTCAATCCAGCCCGTCTCAAGGGCTGATCCTACACCATGATGAGAGAAAGGGAAGAGGACTCTTCCAATTAGGATGTTAAAGGCTTTAAGGATGCTCCTTGGGGAAGCAATACGCTGATGTGTATCCACATCTGTCCTCGAGGCCTGGGTCAGAGGCAAAGAGCTACGGCAGCCAGGACCAATGCAGTGTTGACTAGGGTAGGCAAAGAAAAATGCCAGCAGCCCTGGAGGCATGAGGTGCTGGACAGGGCACGGAGCAATTCCCATATCTTGACCCACAAGCGAGCAAGGGCAAGGCCTTGGGGTGCAAGCGCCCAAGGGGAAGCAAGCGGCAGCGTGCCAGAGCCCGGCACGTGCTTCAGAGATGTTCACTCCTCCCCACAAATAGGTCTGCTCTGGCACTGCTTGGCATAACTCATCTCCTCCCTGCGACATAATGAACCCTGCCTTCAAGCTCCATTAAGCCCGTTGCATAGCGGCCTGTCCCTGGTGAGCCATCCCTGCCCTCAGCTCCGCCGTCCCCAGGGTCAGAGGACCGGCCGCAGCAGCCGGCTGCAGGACGTGCCTGGCTTTCCTATAGGGTCACAGCCCTGGAGTGAGGACGCAGAGGACAGCCCAGCCCCACCTGCTCCAAGATTCTACCTACAAAGCCACCGTCTTGCCCGTTGCTAAAACCCGTTAACAGAGACCCACCACCTCATGTGGCCAAGTCGCTCTCCTGATGGCTCCTGTCCAGCTCCAACCATGAACGACTGCAGCAGCCATTAAAGCTGGAGTAGCAGGGGGAGGGCAGTGGAAAAAGCCACCTCTGCAGCAGCGTTAGTCACTCGAGAGTCCATCACTTCTCATTGCGGCACGCTTCTGTTATGCCACATTGCATCAGGTTATCACACTACGGGATGTAATCCAATGCTGATGCATGAGGAAGCCTAATGCAACACGACACATCGTCGGTGTGCTGAGAATGGGCTTGATTCCTCAGTTTCTGGTCCACTACTTCCCCCTCGTTGCAGGCAGCAAGTTAGACTCATTTGAGGCCGCAGGGTGAAGAGCGATACCCAAAAATACCCTCACTCCAGGCAAATCTACTGGCCACGCCAGCAAGAGTCAGGTAGTTGGACATCTCTCTATAAATAACGTCGCCTGCCCACAGAGCTCCTGCCAGGTCCCATTGTCCCCAAAGCCACAGAAATGGGAGTAAAAGGATGCCAGAAATGCCCCAAGGACCCTTCAACAATTCTGAAAGGCAGCTGATTTGGGTGAAAGTAAATAAGTAAATAAATAAATCACAGGCCCTTTGCCTTGAGGTGGCCTGGGAGAGGCTTTGCCCCCAAGGATTGCTCTACCTGCCCCACACTTAGCGCCTCCTGGGAACACTCAGAAGGAGATGGGAGCCTGAGGCCAGGCAGTAGGAGCAAGCGGCTGCTGATAGGAACCCCATTTTGAGCAAGCAAGTGGACAGAAGGGGAAAGGAAGAAGGCGACAAAGAGGAGGAAAAGCCTGGTGGAAGAGAAACAAAAGGAGGACAAATCCCCACTGTGTTTAGGAAGGGAGCCCTCGCATGCTGAGGATCCGCAAAGTAGCCACCTTCGCACTCCCACAGACTTATGCACCACCAGGACACCAGACTGAATCTGTCCGCAACTGTATCCATGCAGCTCCAGACACCCACTCAAAGCAGCTGCAGGGGGGACACGCTTGCCATCGGCTATCCCTACAACGTGCACCCAAGAGAGCTCGCCCAAGGTCTGAATGACCTCCAGAGCTCCCAGCTGCGACTGGAGGTGGCACCGAGGTATCCTGGGGCAAACAGTACCCTAGGGACAGCGTGTCAAGCTCATCTCTTTTGCACAGTGTGTTTAAATCAGCACGTTTCAGGCCAAAACATAAACAAGTGCACCTTTTGGCATCTACTCAACAGTTGGCCAACAGCCTCAGGGTCATCGTGCATTTATCCATCTCATCGGCTCCAAAGTCAGACTCCCCCAGAGCTTCCCTGTGGTCACATCTCATGCATGGCCTCAAGCAGAGCATGTTAAACACCCTAACCCAGGGACAAAAATAAAAGGAGGAGAAGCCCTCGCAGTGGGACGTACTTGCAGAAAAGGTGGCTTCAGTGTGGACAGGCGGCGTGGAGGGCAGGAAGGGCGGGTATCCCACGAAGAAGGACCGCAGGGAGCGCTCCGGGAGCAGCGGAGAGCGCTGTGAGGGGATGTTCTCGCAGCTTCCCACACTGTTGTGGATCTTGAGGTTCAAGGGCTTGTTCTTTTTCTTTACTCTGGAAAGCAGAAGAAGGAGAAAGAGAGTAAAGCGCGAGGAACCTGGAGGGGATAATCCCCCAGGGCCACAGCAGCACACCCAAAACACGCCACGCACCCAAGGGGTTGCATGTCCCTCGTCACCCACACACCTCTTGTTAACAGTTTTGATTAACCTTTTGCTTGCCAGCAATGTCAACATGTCCATGTTCATCCACTGCCACCTGTTTCCATAAAATCTCCAAGTCCTTCTCCCATAGCCACATACCCCAAGGGAGGAGAAATCCAGATGTTCAACACACACCTGCCTGCACAGTCGACTACCTCGACCACTGGCCCGTTTCCCCACATGCCTTTTATCGAGCCCGGGGGATTCCTGCTCACAGTGCTGGAGTTTTAATCAGGGGAGAGAAACGCAGGAGCAGCCGAGCGGGCGCAGCGCTCCGAAGAGCCGGAGCTGCCAGCGGTGCCCGGGGCATCTGGACCTGCCAATGGAGAGGAAATGACCACGCTGCACTTGGTGGCCCTCATTAGCCAGCAAAAATTAAACTGCTAATTGCTTCCCCGCACAGGAAAAACACAGCGGCCGCTTTGAGGGCTCCGCAGGGTCCTGCGCACAGGGCCCGAGACCCCAAAGAGCTTCCTGCCACGCGGCCATTAGCCCCCGTAATCTTATTTTTTTCCACCCATAAATCAGCTCCAGAGCAAGTATTTACCGAGCACATCATTTCCTCGTCGTCCAGGGCTGCTGACAGCTCTTGTTATGAGGAAGGATGACTGATTTTGGGCAGAGAGCTTTTTTTTTTTTTTCATTTTTCTAGGGGGAAAATATGGAGGGGAAAAAAAACACCCAAGCGCCCTATGCCACCACCATGGTCCGACAGGGTGACAGAGGGCGGTTACAAAGGGGACCCTCTATATGCCACAACCCGGTGTCAGACCCCATAGGGTCATATACCCCCATGGTAGATATGTGATTTTACGCAGGACAAGGACGAGCCCTTTGCAAAGGCCACCACGCTGAGCGCCAGCTGCTTTCGGCATCAATCCCTATTGAAAGCACCGTCCCCACCTGCAACACCAAACCAGTCAACCGCTTCTCAGCGGCTTCAAAAAGGAGATATTCATGCTTTCAGCAAGCACTGAAAGCCCCTGACAGGCAGCGTGAGGAGCGGCCCAGCCCTCCTTTCAGCGCGTTGACAGGCCTTGTCCTTGCAGCCCCGCGCCGGCGTCCCGGCATGCAGCAGCTCCTATAGATCCCAGCGCCGGGAAGGCGCCCGGCATGCACAAAACCCAAGCGCACCTGGCCCCAGTTCACTCGCTGGTGTGCTGCATTACCGTGAGCTTCCTATTCAAACATAATTAAGAAAAATCACAGCTATTGCTTATTTGTCAGGCAGAACCCCCAAACCCACATTCCCACCCTCCGAAATGGAAACGGAGCCTTTCTGCAGTTGCACAAGCTACAGTCTTGGTGGCATTTGCAGGCTCAGGCCTCCCTGGGAGACGAAAGATGGAAAGGGAGAGACGCAGTGGAGCCGCTTGGGGCTTTTGGTGTCACTTGAGAATGCTATCACCAATAATAATCAAAATTAAAAGAGAGGATTTAACAGACACAGGAGGTTTGGCCTCCATGGCCGCCTGATTCCAATTCCGTTTCCTCCTTTGTTCCTCTCCAGTGCACTGTGGTCCCTGTGCAAGAATCGCTTTGGGAGACAGGGAAAAGCAATAAGGGGTTGTGTGGGGGGAGGAAAACCCTGTGTTTGCATTGCAGCTTTCTGCAAGGATTAAAGCTTGCTGCTGCCTGGCCTTAAGTGCACAGCCTCCATCAGGATCCAGCCTGGAAGATTTATGGCCTTTTGACTGGCTTAATTGCCCAATAGTCAGTATTAAACGAGAGCGAAGCCTAAGCGCTTGCTCTGCGCCCTGGCTGTCCGGCGCCCTGTGTTTTTCCCTGCAGGAAGAGCTGCCTCCCCATTCCGTAAGGAGCCAGCAGCTTCAGCACCCTGAGGGTCCAAGGCAAATGTGCTGGGAAATCCAGGAGATTAGTTCAACCTGCCGGAGCTGTTTACATGGATGGAGTTTCCTTGTTATAAGCCCTGAGCTGAACAAGCTCCATGCAATATTAGCTTGATATGGAAAAAAAGAGCGTATCCACCAGCTGTTTCATTTATCCTCCTCATTACTGTAAGAGGCAACAAAAACCCTCTTGCCCAGGCCAGCAAGAAAGCAGCTTCTTCATATCAAAGCCTTGGCAGTTAAATATTTATCCAAGTGCCCGTCCTTGCTTCTGCAGGACGGCTGGATGCTCAGGTGCGACTCTCACTGATCTCTTATTCTCTTTTTGTAGCGCAACTCTTTTTTATCTGAGCTGCAAATTATAGAGCTCGGCAAGACTTTGAAGGCAACTCGCCCAAACTGGAAGTTTTTCTCGCCAAACACAGGCCCCGCGGCGGGGGCAGCAGCGCGGGGCGGAAGGAGCTAATTGCCAGGATCTTGAAGGCTCCTGTTTTTCATTAAGTCTGTCTGTTTTCTCAGGCCTGGTCCTTCGGGGGTATGGAAGGAGCGGGGCAGATAAACCCCGCTTTGTGCCGTGCGGCCGCCTGCCCCAGCCGAGTGAGCGGGACAGAAACAATGCCGAGGCCAAGGATCCTCCGTCTGCGGTTGCATTCCCAACATTTCCGCTCTGGATGTTTTTGCATTTGCACCACGGGGAGTAGTTTTCCTCATCACTAAACATGGTCCCAGCCTGGGCCATCCCGCTTGCTGTCCCCCTGCGGGGACACAGCCCATCACTTGGTGGCACAAGGGCCACAACAGAGCTACCCGCCGTGACGGCTGCATTAATTCTCATCTAAATTCCTAATCACGCTCTCAGCTCTTCAAGTGGCGAAAGGATCCTCAACTCCTTGTTAAAGGACACAGTGAAAAGCCTCGCTGCCGCACGCGGCAGAGCTCCTGCTGCAATGCCACGGCAGTAATTAACATTAACGACACACCTAAGGAGAACCGCGGCCCCGAGCAGCCGCGCAATTGCAGCGGAGCGCCAGTTTGCTACGGAGGCTGCACATCGCTGCCGAGACCGTCCAGAGCCGCTGCAACACAAAAAGCACCGCGACAGATCGGGAAGATTGTTGGAAAACTGATGTGGATGGGGCTTGTTTTGTGCTCGCAGGTCTCCCCCTTTTAATCCTCCACCCATTGCAAAAGTACCGAGCAGGTCTCTGAGCTTACACAAGAATACGAGGCAAATAAGCCAATGCTTCCCAATCCTGCATCGGGATTATTCGCACATTTTAGCAGCATCCCGCTGCATGTGCCTGCCCTGGGACATCAGCCGTCACTGATCCCGCCACGCCAAGAGTCTGTCCCCATTTCCAAGGCCAACTGCATCCAGAGGGACAGGGGACAGCAGCATTAGCTTGTGTATCAAAGCCATGCAGAATAATCAGTGATCGATCTACTACGTAGAAATGTCGATTGGAATTGATACTGGGGAAATCATTGCTGTTGTAAAGGTTGCAGAGCATTAGAATAAATGACCCATCACTGGCTAACATTTCAGACTGGCTCAGATAACAACCCTGAGGGGCAGGATAGGCACAGGCTGCTCAGTGCGGGGGAACGGGTGAGTCACTTCTGGTCCCATGTTTTTGTGAGCCAGATTCTTTCATTCACCTGGGGCATCCCAGCAGGATGCGTTTCATCCCATGCTTTCCACCAGCCACCTGCAATCCAGTCGGATGGGGCAGTCTCGAGCAGCAGTTCCAGGTAGGTCTCCTGCCACCAAGCTAGATGTGACCAACGCAGTCCCAGCCACCATGGTTCTGAGCTGGGTTTGTAGACAAGAACTCACCCAGAGCTCAGCTCAAGCACTGCAATGATGCTGACGAGGGACGCACCTTCAGGAAGGGGAGCTCAGAGCACAATTTTGTTGGGCTGAAAAGACTCAAACCCATTTGGCCCTTGCAGTCATCAGGAACGAGCAGCACCCGTCACCTGCAGCTGCCCCTGCTGCTCAGCAGCCAGAAGAGTCCGTCCCTTCTGACCATGCCTTCCTCACTGCTCACACAGACCCTATTTACAGCAGACTGAGGGCTTTGGAAATCTGAAGTGGAACCGAAGGCTGCTGCCAAACGATACAAGAAATGCCCTGTTCTACACGATTTCTCTGGTATGCGCTACGGAGAAAACACCCATAACAGAGCGTGCCTTCACTTCTAGCACTGCAGAAGTGAACTCAGGGCAACGACCAATTTAAAGCTGGAAAGAACACAAGGAAAAAGGAAAACTAAAAATGGATACACACTCTCTCACCCATTCAGATGGGTATCTTCCTCCATCCAGGATATCCTTATCCTGGTTTCGAAAAAAACAGCACCGAGAAAGAACCTGAACATCAACAAGCCTAAGGGCAGCGAAGGTGATCGTCGTGAGACTTCGGATAAGCATCTTTTCCATCAGCTTGCCTAACCCTATCCAAATTCATATCTTGAATGCAATTGCAGAGATACAGGACAAGGAGATCTCCTTGAGAACATATGCAAGTTCGTGCGTTACGCGGACAGGTTTGCGATTAACAGGAGACAAGATGTAAAGCTGGTGCACGGTGCCAGAGACAGCTCCGTGGCCCAGGTCAAGGAATGAGATCAGGTGGGAGGAAGTGGCTGAGGAAGTCGGTGCCCTTGTCCCAGCACATGTGACCTCAGCCACCCCAACCCTTCTGTGGCATGATGTGCCCGTGTCCCCAGCACAGCCAGCTCAGGAGTGGGGACCTCGGCACAAGCCGAACCATAGGGACTCCCCTAATATACATACCCACAGCTGCTGCCTCGTTTAACTCTGTCAAGAGAGCTCAGGCATGGTAGGTCACGCTGCTTCAATTTACCATGGACACAACACGCTCATCACCCCACCGAAGCTTGGTGTAGACCTTAGGGCTCATTAATTTGGCTAGATAGGAGCATAGGAAATGCACCACGACTGTGAAGGGCCGAGGCCTTGGGCTCGCCTACCACGGGCACGGGAGCTGGAAGGGCTGAGGACCAGGGCACCAGCTGGAGCAGCCACCCCACTGCAGCGCTGGGCAGCAGGATGTGGAGAGGGCTTCAAGTCAGCTAGTTTGCACGTACCTCCTCAAGGGTTAACACGCACCCTCCCAAGCTTGCTTTTAACTGCCTTGACTTTTGCTCCCCAAGTAATGTATTTTTAAGACCTCCCATTTAGAGTTTGTTATTTTGGCTTCTTGCTGATGAATAATCATTAACTATCTGTGAAAGATTTAAATGGCCCGTGGAATTCATGAGGTATTAAATGGGCATTATATTATCAGCCACTCTAAATGTTTTGTTTCCGTTTTCAGACCATTCATGGGATGTTTATGGGTTGTGGATTTATGGAAGCCAGGGGATCTTTTTAGGAGTAATGTTCCATACCCCAAAGTTACGGTCAACAGCTGGAGGTTCCGTGCTGGAAAATCTGAGGCTGTAAGATCAAAAAATTAACCCCTGCTTCAGAAGATTTAAGAATACGGAAACATGGGCAAAAGGAGACAAGGAATTACACTATAGACATAATCTCCTAAAGACAAGATGCAAAAACCTTATGCTGTCATCAACAATAAAGCAGTGCACAGGGGTATCCTCTGGAGAGGACAGAGCTGCTGCTGCTCTCCCCCAAATCCTGTTCTCTTTTACATCCATCCCTGAACGTGATGGTGAACCTGTTACTGCAGACCTGCAATGTGGCAAGAGCTGCAGGGTGTGAGGAATCCAATTCCTGGTCCCGGACTACTCTCCGTGAGTAGGTCCTTCTCTTGGCTCTCTACCTGCTCCTGCTGACCACTGCCAGCAGCTCCTGGAAACATTTCTACCTGAGGAAGCTGAATGGATGCATTTGGCTATGGAGAAGAGAGATGCCTTCTGAAACAATCTAACAGCCAAAACACAGTCTTCTGAGCAAGAAGATACAGATCCCACCAGCAGGGATGGCTCGGGTGGCTTTAGTCAGCATAGGATTCAACTGAAGTCATTAGGTGCCCACTCCAACACAACTTTCCAGCTCCCCTCTACAGGAGTGTCTCTAGCTCCTCTGAGCACAGTTCAGCCCCTCCTGAGATAAGATAAAAAGAGGATGAGATAAATCACCCCAAGAGACATCAGGCTCATTCTTGGCATCAGGCAGCCCTGGCTCTGCAGACACATCCACCCAGTTCGACACAGCTCAACCAACCTGCTCCATGAGTTAGCTCGCATCTCCCGGTCCCCTTGTTCTTTGGCAACTACTGCCCGGCTACACAACAATTTTCCATCTCAGAAAAGCAAAACAACAGAGTTCACCTACACAGGAGATCCTTTATACCAGGACAACCATCGCGTTGATGCAGCTCCCACTTGTGGACGTCTACTGGGGAAGAATGGCAGCTTCACTCAGATTAAATTCCAAAGTGACTCTAACATAGAAAAAGCCATTCCCACTCCAGGCTATGGATGGGATTTGATTACCAGGACACAGACATGTCACACTCTGTTCATGCAGGGAATTACACTGCAAATCTTTGCACTAGCATAAATCACCCCCCAACCCTCTGCCTGCGCATACAGGCAGGCTCTTGCACTACCCAACTCTCACTTCTTGCCTCTGGAGGCCTTTGGCTGTCTGGGATAAGCAAAGCACCTCTTGCCATGGTGGGACATCACATTGCTGATGGAAAGTCAAGATCAGAAGCAATCCATAGCTAAAACTCCAAAAAGGCATATTCGTAATAGGTTTCAATACATTTTTGTGTGGATAATCTCAGTTTCAATGACCTTCATGTTTTAGGTTAGGCATAAAAACCCCTTCTTCCTCGCAAAGCAGAGCACAACATTAGCCTTCAGAAGCGGTGAGATTAGAAAGAAAACCTAGACAACGTGAGCATTATGTGGGCAATGCCATAAAATAAGGATGAGCCGATGTCACAGCCCAGCAAGTGAGCGGCCCTACCCTCCCTGCATTGCCCTGGCAAGGCTGCCCTTTAGGACAACTTTGCTTCCCAGGCTTCGCCACGATGGACATGGGATGTGCTGAGCTTTGCAGGGCTCCGAGCAAGCCGGAACCGCGTTCCTTCAAACCCCCTGCTCCTCCTGCTTGGGAGAGGAGAGGGGAGAAGAAAACGCTGCCTCTTTAATGCACTAATTACCACCCTGCAACACTAATGGGATTAGCAGGCAGGATTTAGTGGTTGCCTCCTGAAAATCATTAAGCGCCATTAGAGTAAATTAACCTCCACACTTCTGCGAGCAGCTTCGGGGAGCCCGGGTCTTGTGGGGCCCCCTTGCTCCGCGTCGGTGCCACCGAGCCCCGCAGGACACTAGCGCAACAGAGTGCTGCTAGCTGTCATCACGTCTTTCCTCTATTAAATTTGTTTATTAAATTCCCTGGGTTGTGGGATTTGCCCAGAGGCAGCACTAATTGGAAAGGCAAGTTGCACCATTCGAAGGGGCTGAGTCCCAAAGGGAAGCTGCAAGTGGAGCAGAAAACACCATCTCTGCCCATGGGATTCCCTTGGCTTGGGCAAAGGCAGTCCAGGCACCCGGCTCTTCCATCCAGCTTTCCAGGGTGGCTGGGAATCCAGGCCTGAAGAGTTTCTGGAGCCTGGTGCAGACATGAGCAGCTCCAGCCCCACTGCAACTTCGTGTATGACCCGGACTGTGATGGACCTGGGACATTCATGGCCCTGGGGCAACTGAGGGGTGGACATGGACCACTTTGCTCTGGGCATTTCTCAGTGGCTTATCCCAACCCAGAATATTACCCATTGGCAATATCCTAACAGCAACATCACATAGGAATAGACCGTGGAGCAGATGCTGAAGACTGGATAAAAACCACTACAAACCACGTCCTGTTCCCAAAAGGGCTCCCTCTGAGGCAGCTGCTGGGGGGTGCAGGACGCCTGGGCCCATCGACCACAGAAGGGCCGCGTTAACCCTCATGTCGCGTCGAGCCGGAGCGCGGGAACCTTGTGCTGCGCAGCAGCAGCCTCTGCCGGCGCGGAAGCCACAGAACTGGCCGTCCTTGCTGCCATCCTCCCTGCCACCTTGTGCCCCTGGGCCAAGGGTGCTGCGGCACCCAGCACCCTCCTGAGCCCACTGCTGCATCCGCTGACGCTGCCCCTGTGGGCCCAGGCATCCGGGCTGCACCGCTCTGTGGTGCTCAGGCAGCACCACACGCCAAGTCCTGCTTGGACTAAGTGCTCCAGGCTGCCCAAGCCTTCCTAACACCAGGATGGAACTGGGAGGAGGCCAAGGAGCCCTGTGCATGCAGCGGCAGGGAGGCGGGATGCCCGGGGAGGCCCCAGGACGCAGGATGCGCACTCTCCATCTTTGGCTCTCGCGCGTGCTCCCACCAGCACCCAGCCCTTACGGCAACATTGGGCACCACCATCCTCACGCTGCAGTGGCAAAGTGAGCCCCATCCCGGCTCCAGCAGCACGGGGAGACCCCGCAGGACATGGGGAATGGCAGGGCTGCATCCTGCTCCAGCAAATAGCGGAGCTGATGCACACCCGGAGCACACACGGCCGGCACCATCCCCACTCCTGGAGCCCAGATCTGCCTTTTTTGGGGGATATTTAAACCAGACCACCGACCTCCTTCTGGCTGCAAAGGGGCTGGAGGACACACAGCGAGCCCAAAATAGCCCAAAAGGGACCGTCTGCATGTCCTGCCCTGGGGACTTCTGTGCTCCTGCAGGCCTGTGAGGAGCTGGTGTGCCCTAGGTGCACCAAGGCAAGGACAGGGCAATGGGGCAGCACGAGGAGCAGCCTCGTGGAGCTCCCTGCATCCCTCAGCAAATAACCCACTAGTACGCCAGTATGGGCTATTTGCATCCCCCAATCCCACAGCGGTATTTGGGAGACCCGGGCCCTTCTGCAAAGCATCTCGGCACTGAGGAGGTCCCGGCTTACTTGGGGGTGTGCGCCTCGTCCACGCGGTGCCCCAGCTGGAACTCATGCGACTTGCTGCGGTGCAGCGCCGTGAAGCCGGGCAGCAGGTGGATGAGCTTGTGGGACGC